CCGCGCTTCAGCGGAGTGGTCCCCACTTCGGTTCAGAGCACGAACGCACACGTCTTGCGCGCCGAAGTGAGGAATTTGCTGGAAAAAGGAGCCATAGAAGTGGTTTCCCCGGCCCAGAGCGAGTCAGGCTTCTACAGCCGTTACTTCCTCGTCCCTTCGGGCTGTCCCTGGCTCCACGCACTTTTTACGAAGTGCATGGATGCGGCTCTCTCCCCCCTGAGACAGGCAGGAATCCACATTCTCAACTACCTCGACAACTGGCTCGTCCTGGCCCAGTCAAGGGAGGAGTCACTATCTCACATAGCCCTTCTCCTCAGGGTGAACTTTGCCAAGAGCACACTGGTTCCCAGCCAGCGAGTCTCGTTCCTGGGTTCAGTGTTCGACTCGGCTCAGATGGAAGCGAAGGTCACAGCAGAGCGCACCCTGAGTATACGGCAGCTTGCAGCTTCCTTCAAAGCTGGCGCCTCTCACCCCCTCAAAAGGTTTCAGAAAATGCTAGGCCTCATGGCTGCAGCATCTCCAGTACTACGGTTGGGCCTGCTGAGAATGCGCCCCCTCCAACACTGGCTGAAACCGCGGGTTCCATCCTACGCATGGCATCATGGACGCCTAATTATCAGGGTAGATCAGGCCTGTGTACTGGCCCTGGCCTCCTGGATGAACATTCAATGGATGGAACGGGGAGTTCCCCTGGGAATGGTCTACAGAAGGAAGGTGGTTTCGATGGATGCTTCCAACACAAATTGGGGACGTTCGGCCTCTGGTCGATAGCGGAAAGCAGTCTGCACATCAACTGCCTCGAAATGGCGGTATGGCGGGTCTGTCAAACCTTCCTACCAGACCTCAAGGGACACCATGTCTTAGTCCGTTCAGACAGCATGACGGTGGTGTCCTACATAAATCGCCAGGGGGGGCTATCCTCGAAGCGGCTCCTTGTATTAGTAGAGTGCCTCTTGGAATTGGCACAGCTAAACCTACGTTCGCTGAGAGCAGCACACGTTCCGGGCATATTGAACCGAGGAGCAGATATGTTGTCACGAAGTAAGGTCCCCTCAGAGGAGTGGATGCTTCATCCGCAGACAACTCAAGAAATTTGGGAAGTCTTCGGCAGGGCGGAAGTAGACCTCTTCGCCTCAGAAGACAATTCTCACTGCCCAATCTATTTTTCAAAGGACAAGGATGTGTTGGCCCATGACTGGCCCAACCTCCCTCTCTACGCTTTTCCCCCGGTTGCCCTGATTCCACAGGTGATCGGGGAACAGAAACGCAAAGTGCTCCTAGTGGCCCCGCTCTGGAAAAACCAGCATTGGGTGGCAGAGCTGTCACAGCTGCTAATAGCAGCCCCATGGCCTATTCCCCTGAGGTAAGATCTCCTCTCCCAGGCGAACAGGACTATATGGCACCCCAGGCCAGAGCTGTGGGCCTTGCACCTGTGCCCACTCGACGGGAGCCTATTCGCCTAACAGAGTGTGTATTGAACACCATTTCTCAGGCTAGAGCTCCGACGACAAGACGCCTCTACGCCCTTAAATGGTCAGTGTTCTCTGCCTGGTGCTCAAATCGTGGCGAGGATCCGCTCACTTGCGACATATCTGTGATACTGTCCTTTCTGCAGGAGCTGTTGGACAAGGGTCTCTCCCCGTCCACGCTCAAGGTCTATGTGGCGGCTATAGCGGCTTCTCACGCCCCTATAGCAGGTCAAACGGTCGGCAGGAACAACCTTGTTGTTCGTTTTCTGAGAGGAGCCAGAAGGCTAAATCCGCCTCGGCCTCTCACATGTTCCTACGTGGGACCTGCCCACTGTTCTGAGGACCTTGAAGGGCCCTCCCTTTGAGCCGCTGCAGTCCGTCGACCTTCGGTCCCTGCCATTTAAAACCGCTCTGCTACTAGTGCTGGCATTGGTCAAACGAGTGGGTGACTTGCAGGCACTTTCTATAACCCCTATTTGCCTGGAATTCGGGCCTGGCAACTTCAGGGTCGTCCTGAAACCAAGGCATGGCTATGTACCTAAGGTACTCTCGACTCCGTTCAGAGCACAGGTTATCAACCTCTCTGCGCTTCCTCTCTCGGAGGAAGACCAGGAGTTGTATTTACTCTGCCCAGTTAGGGCTCTGAAGGTCTACATTGAGCGTTTCGCCCAATTTAGGCAGTCGGAACAACTCTTTGTTTGCTTCGGTGACCGCGCTAAAGGACACCCGGTCACGAAGCAGAGACTTTCTAAGTGGATAATCGGCGCTATTTTGCTAGCCTACTCTTCCCTGGGCCTGCAATGCCCAGTTGGAGTACGAGCCCACTCAACTAGAGGCATCGCCTCTTCGTGGGCGTGGTCTAGCGGCGTGACCATTGCAGAAATTTGTGCGGCGGCTGGCTGGGCCTCGCCATCCACTTTTGTTAGGTTCTATAACCTGGATATCTCTGCCTTGCAGGCTAGGGTTCTTTCTGCTTAGATGGTGCGCAGTTCGCTCTGAGTGCAGTTTGGATGTAATATGCCCAGACCTGTCAGAGAGCTTGCTTGTGTGCTCTCGGCCCCCTTGGGTGCTGAGGCTGCGCAAGTCTGTTGGAACGATCACTTGGCTGGGTGAGGCCTTCACGAGGCTAGCCTGTTCAGCCTGGAGGAGTTTATTGTTCTTGTTTCTTGGTCCCTGAGGTGCTTAGGACAAGAATTATCTTGGTCGTTCCTCTGCCATGGCATGGCGTGATTGTACTGTTCCCATAGCGTCTAGCAGACGCAGTACGAGTGTAGTATCGAAAGGGAACGTACTCGGTTACAAACGTAACCTCGGTTCCCTGAGATACGGGAACGAGTACTGCGTTGCTAGCCGTGCCATGCAGCTGCACGACTCAGTCGTCGCTTCAGTCAAAGTAACCTGAATCCTATGGCGAAGCGGGTGCTTATATAGCCAGATGACTCCGGCCATTCTGGCGGGCTTCGCTGCCATAGGTTTGTGCAGCACCGCTACCGAGCCATTGGTTCATTTTTTAAACATACTGCACGAACCAATGGTCATGCAGTTTCACTGCGTGATTGAAAAAGGCTTCAGTTCAGGAGAAAAAATGACTTTTTACCCATAGCGTCTAGCAGACGCAGTACTCGTTCCCGTATCTCAGGGAACCGAGGTTACGTTTGTAACAGAGTACGGTTTTTACTGCACAAGACGTTAACTGATGGACTGGAGTTACTTTTAAATTATTGTGATTATTTTGTATTAGCTGTTTGAACTTATTCTAACAGCACCCATTCACTGCAGATGATCGATTGGTGAGCTCATCTACTCATCTATATCTTGGATGACCTGAGGGTTGAGTACATTTTCAGCTAATTTTTATTTTTGGCTGACCTATTCCTTTAAATTTCATTCTGTGGCTTTAGACGTCTAGAAATATATTGCACAGGTAGTATGGGATACTTTATTAAGCTTCTATGGTGCTTTTTGCCCTTTTTGGAGCTTGGCAGGTCGTGGTTCCCATTTACTTGCATTGTATGGAAAAGAGCAACTCAAACATTCTTCTAAACTATTACTTTTATGATCCAAAAAAAAAAAACCATACGGGTTTGGAAAGACACGAGGATGAGGCATGATGACAGATTTTTCATTTAGGGTCAACTATCACTTTCACCCTTAATCACATAATTGCACTGCTACAAAAGCTGATGTGTACATTCGTGTCTTTCAAAATCTCAAAATCTTTTCTCCGTGGAACACTAAAGGAGTTCAAGCTGTTCTTCTCCATACAATGAAAGTGAATGATGCTTTTTTTTCACAGACATGATGACAGATTTTTCATTTAGGGTCAACTATCACTTTCACCCTTAATAACATAATTGCACTGCTACAAAAGCTGATGTGTACATGTGTGATGGAATACAGCAGCATTAGAACATCTTTATAATAGTCTAAATAATTTGAATCATTAAATTTCAAAGCGATGCAGTGTATCAACACCACACTGTTGCAGCACATATCTCTGGAATGAAAGCCAAAGGACTTGATTATGTCTTCCTGAGGCTTAAATGCGGCTTCCATTGAGTTGATCTCCATGGCAACGCTACTAGTGCCATATTTCTTAATGGATACCATGGGCTCCACTCATTCAGACTGCAGGCAGCACGGTTTCTCACCAAGGGGGAAGCATTCAAAACAGTTTTCCTCTGCAGCTATTAGATGTGTGCATGCAAACACACTATTACCCAAACAAACTGACAGGTTAGGGATTTTAAAACCTCATAAGAGGCTCTTCTGGTTGTAGAAAATGTATTGTTGTGTTGGCCTGAGTACAATGCTTGACTGTAAAAATAAAACTGCATCAAAAGGAATGACAAACACCTGTAGAGCTATTACACACTGGGAATTGCCACAGAATTGTTTTTGCTCATGAATAAATTGCAACAGATAAATGAATTAATAAATACATTATCAAACAGTAAATGCTGCAGATAGTTCAGTCAAGTTAAGATGTCAAAAAGCAAATCTTCATGAAGTTTCATCTGAGCAGGTGACCAGATCAGCCAATAATAGCGCATATAACACTCTCGGATAGTGGCTGCTACTGAGTAATGGTGTCTATGCCTTAAACCCCCCATGGATTCATATTGATAAAACCAATAGCTTAGAAACATGCTCTTCTGTGCATTTTGATTGGATGAAAAATTGCAATGTGAATCACGAGGGAAACAATGATAACAAGCACAAAATAAACAGGTATGATAACAAAATCTTCTGATATCTTGGTTCTGAAGTCGGAACGTCTAAACCAGAAATACAGAATTTTACTGCCTTGCATTAATTAATAAATAAATAAAGAGTTCATGCCGAGCACATTAGGCAACTGTAGTTACACATATCATATTGCCGAGTTTCCTCAAGTTTGTCAGTTTTGTGAACAATTTGATAGTGCCATCATTAGTTCAACATCTGTTCATTGTCTTCATCTTTTCCCTTTTCATTTCTGACAGCTGCATGGAGTTTTAGAAGGTGAATTATGTAAAATAAACCACTTACTTTTTATGGGTTTCGTATCTGCCAGTGGCTCCAAGACTCTGCAAAATTAAGTAAACAAAACTTTAAACAGAAGACTTTACACATCATTTATATTAACATTAACTATAAATTAACCTTGATTATAAGATTAATTCTAAATTGATCAGTATGCTATTCGAAAACTTACTCAAAGGTTCAAAACTTTTTTTGTTTAAAAACTTGTTATATAAATAGTTTTGTTTAAAAACTGTCACTTTTATGCTTTTGCTTAGAAAGTAAATCAGATGTTACGTAATTATGAACTTTTCCAAACTAATACTAGATTGTATAAGTATTGAATTACACATAAGTCAAATAAAGGCAACATGACAAAAATGCATGAAACTAAAGTGCCTGAATTACTAGTCTAGAATTCCACAGCAGACACACCAATGCGTAAAACAGATGTGTAAATGTGGCCCCTCGTTGCTTACGTAAGGTGAGTTAATGATATTAACACTCTCTACTACTACAATGCCAAACAGAAATATTCAATTTTCTAATTACACCGTAATCAGCGCAGACACCAAAGCACTTCTGTTACCAGAAACTCTGTCCTCACGCTTGGGAATGGCACTCTCACTGTTGTCATAGCAACTTTCGAGAATATGTTTTGAAAATTACCTTTCCTGTAGATGTGCATATCCTTTCATCTGACATCTAACGCCATGTACAAGTGCTGAAAACTGTCCACATCGATCAGCTACCAATGCATGAAACTCACCCGAAGTAAAATGTATCATAAGTATTATTACGGGTGAAGTACACAAAAATAGATTTGTACATACTTGACCTGTTACAGCATTCAGTACTTTGTTCTTTATGTGGTCTTTGTTATTTTATGCAATTATAAACACAGCAGGAAGGGAGGCAGTGTCTCTGTCTCTTGACTCCCATGACGTTTACAAGAAAACATAAATTTCATAATGTCTTGTAAACCTGATCCTCATGTGGTCAGGTTTACAGCTGAAATGTACATATACTGAGCACATACTGTATATATATATATATATATATATATATATATATATACACACATATTCATATACATGTAAATAAATGGACTAATTATCACCACACCATTTGGTCACGACTGAATCTTAAAATAGCTGAATCATGAAATGATCTGTGAGTGAGCCGGTTTTAGGTTTGTTTAAAATAGAGGTGCTTTTTCATGTATGCTACCATCGTGACACCTGTGATTTTGATGATTAAAGGTCTGAAAAAAGGTGAAGAGAAGGACTACAATAGTACTAATAATAGTAGATGAAAAACAGAATAAAAGCCACACAAAATGCTTTTACTGCATTACTACTATTGATTGTACTGTATTATTTTTGGAGCAACATAAAAATGCTAAACCTTAAAAAGTTTTAATCTGACTAATATTTTTATTTCAGTAGTTTTTAATAAATAGCATGCAAATATACTCCTAAAAATAAAGGTTTTAAAAGGGAGTTTTTGCAATGATGCCATAGAAGAACAATTTTTGGTTCCCCAAGGAACCTTTCAGTTCTTAAAAAAAAAAAAAAAAAACATTTTTTTCTTGGAGAACACCGTAAAGAACCTACAAAGAACCTTTTGTGTAATGGAAAGTTTCCATGAATGTTTAAGGTTCTTCATGGAAATATTAATGCCAATAAAGAACCTTTTTAAGAGTATATAATCATTCAAACTATTGGCTGTTTGTTGAAAGTTTAAGGTAAATGGTGTTCAATACCCGGAAATGGTGTCAAAGTAAAACTGAAAATAAATGCTCTCAAACACAGAGAGGAGAAGTTGCTTCCTCATTTCAAAAGTCCAGTCACACACACCACTTATACATTGGTACCCTCTGTTTTAACTGCATAATTTGTTCAAGGAAACCAACACTTAAAAAGTTAATTCAAAGTTAATTCTCATGAAAGGGGTCCTTAATTAGCTTTAATATGAAACGGAAGCAGGAACGCAAGGCAATCAGCCTTTTTAAATAACCAAACAAAAGAAATGAGAAATTAAGAAATAATTATCTGTAGACCTGTAAAGGCTTTGCAAAGCAATATCTGATGTGCTTGTGCCACTGGATGTTGAAAATACTCCTTAAATCAATATCTGCACAAAAATAACATCACTATATATCAGGGGTGTCAAACTCATTTAAGGTTGAGGGCCGGATCGGAGAAAATGCCCCCTTGTGCGGGCCGAATTACCTTTTGTTAAACCCTAGTTTGCTCACAATTACATTAATATTAACCATACAAACTACAATATAATAAAAAAAAATTTATTTGTTATTTTATAATATTGTTTAAATCATCCTGCGGGCCGGATTGGACACCTCTGTGGGCCGTGTTCGGCCCGCGGGCCGTATGTTTGACACCCCTGCTATATATCATACTGATATAAAATGAAAAGAAAATACTACACTGTCCACTCCAGACAGTTCTTCTGGTTGAAATTGACAAAAGGCTCAATAGACATGAACCTCTTTCTCCTGAACAAAGTAAAGAAAAACATATTTTTGCATACTGAAAGAACGTCTCGGTTACGTATGGTAACCCTCGTTCCCTGAAGGAGGGAACGGAGACGTCACGTCGGATGACCGACGAAATTGGGATCTCGCTTAGAGAGACCAATCTACTTCGAGTGTAAACTAAACGAGCCAATGCACATTGGAGTAGAGTAGTCAGGAGCAGAACGATGTGATCGCTCGGCTCCGAAGCGAAAAGCTGAATATGCGCTGCATCTGCTGCCTACTTATACTCACGCTGTGATCAGCGGCAGCTGGATGCAATAATCGCATGCCAATGTGCATTGGCTCGTTTAGTTTACACTCTAAGTAGATTGGTCTCTCTAAGCGAGATCCCAATTTCGTTGGTCATCCGACGTGACGTCGAGAGTGACCGACTGAAAGGGAACACGTCTTACAGTATATGATGTGACTCACTGAGATGTTCACAACAAGCTGAATCAATTTCCATTGATGATGACACATTTGCCACAGTGTGTGGTACACAATGTTCTATTCCAAACCCAGCAGTATCTGTGACTGAAGTCATGCTTCCTAACAAAGCTCATAGCGTGAAGAGTCGTGAATATATCCAAGAGGGACTGAGTCCCCATAAATGCTGCTTATCTGCTCGCATAGCGTTTTGATGAGATCAGCTGGAGATGAATGACAATGATCATTAAGAGTGCAATTGTGTGAAACAAACTGACAACCAATTCCCCAACATTCCCATAAACTACTCTTTCTGGCAGGTTAGATGTTTCACACATAATGTAAATGCTGAATATCTGATATAAGGTGTATACACAAAATCATACAAAACTTGGCTAAAAAGAATGAGACTAACCACTTGGGAGAAATTCTCAATATTGCACCTGTAAGTCCCACCTTTTTTACAGTGCTGTTGTTACTTGCAGTTTCGTTACTTGAAATAGAATAAATTGTAGCTGAAATAAAATATTTAAAAAAACGTTCTAATGTTAATTTATTTTAATTTGATGTAGTAAAATAAAACTTAAATAAAAATTATTAAAAATTATATAGACATATTTAAAAAAATACAAAAACAAATTAAAATGACAAAAACACCCAACGTTACCAAAAATTAAACTAAAATTAAAAGGATATATATATATATATATATATATATATATATATACACTA